CTAAACCCCAACCCCACCAGTATTACTGACCCCACCCCACCAGTATTACTGACCCCACTCACCAGTATTACTGACCCCACCCCACCAGTATTACTGACCCACCCCACCAGTATTACTGACCCCACCTCACCAGTATTTACTGACCCACCTCACCAGTATTACTGACCCCACCCCACCAGTATTACTGACCCCACCCCACCATATTACTGACCCCACCCCACCAGTATTACTGACCCCACCCCACCAGTATTACTGACCCCACCCCACCAGTATTACTGACCCCACCTCACCAGTATTACTGACCCCACCTCACCAGTATTACTGACCCCAGCTCACCAGTATTACTGACCCCACCTCACCAGTATTACTGCCCCCAAACCCCACCATATTACTGACCCCACCTCACCAGTATTACTGACCCCACCTCACCAGTATTACTGACCCCACCCCGCCAGTATTACTGACCCCACCCCACCAGTATTACTGACCCCACCTCACCAGTATTACTGACCCCACCTCACCAGTATTACTGACCCCATCCCACCAGAATTACTGACCCCACCCCGCCAGTATTACTGACCCCACCTCACCAGTATTACTGACCCCACCTCACCAGTATTACTGACCCCATCCCACCAGAATTACTGACCCCACCTCACCAGTATTACTGACCCCACCCCACCAGTATTACCTGACCCCACCTCACCAGTATTACTGACCCCACCTCACCAGTATTACTGACCCCATCCCACCAGAATTACTGACCCCACCTCACCAGTATTACTGACCCCACCCCACCAGTATACTGACCCCACCTCACCAGTATTACTGACCCCACCTCACCATATTACTGACCCCACCCACCAGATTACTGACCCCACCTCCCCAGTATTACTGACCCACCCCCAACCTCAAAACTAGTATTACTGACCCCATCCCACCAGTTATTAACTGTACCCCACCTCACCTATTATGACCCCACCCACCATAATTGAGTGACTCATCACCAGTATTTACTTGCCCCCACCATAATTATGACCCCTACAGTATTCTGACTACCACTATATTACTACCCTTTACTCCACCTGACCATATTACTACCCTAACTTAACCACTATTACGACCCTACTACCAGTTTACTACTACTACCCACCATATTACTACCCACCACCAGTTACTACCACACCACAGTATCTGACCACTTACTATACTGATTCCACCACCTACCATACTACTACCCACACTACCACTACTACTACTCACTACTATTACTGACCACCACCACCACCATATCTACTACTCACTATACTACCACTACTACATTCCACACCCCACCACACTACAACTACTACCACTACCGTACTTACTACCCCACTCCCCAGCTCACCACCACCACTATACTACTACCCACCACATACTACTGACTACTACTACTACCACTTCCAACCACCACCACCACCAACTACTAACTACTAACTACGATAAACTAACTTCCCACACCCAAACCACCACCCACTACACAATACTACTACTACTTACTACTGACTACTACATACTACTACTTCCACCACACCACCACCACTACTAACTACTACTACTACTTACTCTACTACCACCACACCACCAACTACTACTACTACTACTACTACTACTACTACTACTAGTACTACTACTACTTCCACCACCACCAACCACACACTACTAACTACTATACTACTACTTCCACCACCACCACCACTACTACTACTACTAACTACTACTACTACACTACTAACTTCCACCACCACCTACTCACTACTACTACTATACTACTTCCCACCACCACCACTACTACTACTACTACTACTACTACTTACTACTACTTCCACCACCACCACCACTACTACTACTACTACTACTACTACTACTACTTCCACCACCACCACCACCTACTACAACTACTACTACTACTACTACTACTTCACACCACCACCACCACACTACTACTACTACTACTACTACTACTACTACTACATTCCACCACCACCACCACCACCACACTACTACTACTACTACTACTCTCACTCCACCACCACTACTACTACTACTACTACTACTCACCACTACACACTACTACACTAACTACTACTACTACTAACTACTACTTCCACCACCACCACCACTACTACTACTACTACTACCACACTACTATACACTATCCACACCACCACCACTACTACTACACTACTACTACTACTACTACTACTTCCACCACCACCACCATCTAACTACTACTACTACTACTACTACTACTTCCACCACCACCACCACACCACTACTACTACTACTACTACTACTACTTCCACCACCACCACACCACTACTACTACTACTACTACTACTATCTTCCCACCACCACCACACACTATACTACTAACTACTACTTCCACACCACTTCACCACTACTATACTACTACTACTACTACACTATTCACCACCACCACAACACTACTACTACTATACTACTTTCCACCACCACCACACTACTACTACTACTTACTATACTACTACTTTCCACCACCACCACCACTACTACTACTACTACTACTACTTCCAACTCCACCACCACCACTACTACTACTACTACTACTACTACTTCACCACCACCACACTACTACTACTACTACTACTACTTCCACCACCACCACCACTACTACTACTACTACTACTACTACTACTACTACTACTACTACTACTACTATACTACTACTTCCACCACCACCACCACTACTACTACTACTACTACTCCACCACCACACCACTACTACTACTAACTACTACTACTACTTCCACCACCACCTACCAACCACTACTACTACTACTACTACTAACTACTATCCACCACACCACCACCACCACTACTACTACTACACTACTACTACTACTACTACACTACTACTACTATACTACTACTTCCACCCACCACCACTACTACTAACTACTACTACTAACTACTACTACACTACTACTACTACTACTTCCACCACCACCACCACCACTACTACTACTACTACTACTAACTTCCACCCCACCACCACAATACTACTACTACTACTACTACTACTACTATTCCACCACCACCACCACCACTACTACTACTACTACTACTACTACTACTACTACTACTACTCACTACTTCCACCACCACCTACCACTACTACTACTACTACTACTACTACTACTACTACTACTACTTCCACCCCACCACCACCACCTACTTACTACTACTACTACTACTACTACTCTTCCACACCACCCCACCCTACTACTACTACACTACACTACTACTCTCCACCACCACCACCACACACTACTACTACTACTACTACTACTAACTACTACATTCCACCACCACCACCACTACTACTACTACTCTACTACTACTACTACTACTTCCACCACCACCACCACTACTACTACTACTACTACTACTACACAAACTACTACACTACTACTACTACTACTACTACTACTACTATACTACTACTACTTCCAACACCACCACCACCACTACTACTACTACTTCCACCACCACCACCACTACTACTACTAGTACTACTACTACTACACTACTACTACTACTACTACTACTACTTCCACCACCACCACCACTATTACTACTACTACTACCACTACTACTACCACTACTACTACTACTACTACTACTACTACTACTACTACTGCTACCACCAGTACTATTGTACCATTCACTCATATACTCTTATCTCACATATGGAATTTGTGGATGGGGATTAACAACATTCAATCACCTAAGACCTTTAATAACCCAGCAAAAGGTAGCAGTAAGAATGATAACAAATTCCCACTCTCGCCAGCATACTCCATAAATTTTCAAAAGTCTAAATCTACTCACCATTAAGAACATCCATATTTATTCATGTGCTTACTACATACACAGAACAATACACACAAATATAAACCCTCCACTCAAACTTCTCCTCACCAACCTAAACAGGACACATGACCACAACACAAGACACACATCTCTTTTTGATATACCTCGTGTCTATATCACACTGTGTAAAAACTCTATGCACATAAAGGGCCCCAAAATATGGAATTCATTACCAGAAGATACTAAAGTAACTCAGTCTGAAAATCAATTTAAGACTCTTCTCAAAAGCCACTTAATCACCCTAGACTAAATGTTAAATACTCAGTACACACTTACTCACTTATGTACAGTACTCCCACATCATAACTTCAACAATTACTTTTATCCATTGTTGACACGAATATAATTGAATCATCGTTTCACAAAAAGCATTTTTGAATATATGAATATATCTTTTGTCTTATATAAATTAGATTCACATATAATTAGTAATGTACTATACAACTATTGATATAATTAATAATCTACTATACAACTATGATATAATTCTTAGTGTTAAGTAGTCTGTAAGTCAATAATGCTAAGTTGGCCCATAATGCCTAGGCATAAAGGGCTCTGGTGGCCTGGTGGTTAACGCTCTCGCTTCACACGGTGAGGGTCTGGGTTCGATTCCCAGCCAGAGTAGAAACATTGGACGTGTTTCTTTCCACCTGTTGTCTATGTTCCCCATCAGTAAAATGGGTACCTGGGTGTTAGTCGACTGGTGTGGGTCGCATCCTGGGACACTGACCTATGGAGGCCTGGTCAAAGACCGGGCCGCGGGGGCGTTGACCCCCGGAACTCTCTCCAGATAATAGAGACTCCTTTTGCATTGCAACCCATTATTGTAAATACATAATCTCAATGTACTATTTGCAAAGACATAAATAAATAAATAAATACTACTACTACCACCACGATACTATTTATACTACTGTTACTACCACCATCACTACTAATACTCTTATTATACTACTGTTACTACCACCATCACTACTACTGCTCTTATTATACTACTAAGACTACCATTACTACTACTATTAATCGACATGTTTTATGTGTCCCAGAACGTTCCCACTTGCGTCTGGCATCTCCCTCATCATACTGACGGTAGTGTTCGTACTTACAAACGTGGCCTACTTTGCCGTGCTGCCTCGCCATGTGGTCAGCACCTCCACCGCCGTCGCTGTCGTACGTGGTCGTAGCTCCTCTAGTATTCTCCTGTTTATGAAGAGCCGAGGATTAACTCACAGAGTGGAAGGAAAACCTGGACGGAGGTTTCGGACCGTCCTGGACCATAATTCTTGTTGGTGTTATGGGGCTATAGGGCCACTGAAAGCTTATGCCGTATCCAGCCTTCCTGGGCTATTATTTAAGATAAGATAAGATAAGATAAGATTTCGTTCGGATTTTTAACCCCGGAGGGTTAGCCACCCAGGATAACCCAAGAAAGTCAGTGCTTCATCGAGGACTGTCTAACTTATTTCCATTGGGGTCCTTAATCTTGTCTTCAATTCAATTCAGTTCAATTCAAAGTTTATTCTCTATAAGGATTACAATGCTGAATTTACAGAATTTGGTTATTGTGTGGTTTACATGTAGTTAAATAATGATTAAGTCAGTTTAATATCTTTATTATTCATCCCATACCCATACTGTATTGTTTGGCAGCTGTGTTAGTTTATTTAAACACAGGTACACAAGCGTACAATCATCATATATAGTGTAAATCACCCAGGATAATCCTCAAAAAAAGTCAAAGTGTCTAATTACCATCTGGGTCCTCGTGAGGGGAGCCCAACATTATTATTATAATCAAAGGGGAGCGCTAAACCCGTAGGATTATACAGTGCGTGGGGGTGGAAGGTATTCAGGCTCAATTCAGGGAACCGGAGCACGGATCCAATTCCCTAGATCAAGAGCCCCTCACCAGCGTCAAGGAACCTCCCTTGAGGAGGGGGACCCAACAGAAATAAGTTACTTTGATTTTTTTTGGTTATCCTAGGTGAGTTACACTATGTATGATAACTGTACTTACGTGTACCTGTGTCTAAATAAACTTACCGTATTTTCCGTTATATAAGGCGCACAAGTATTGTACCAGTAAATCAGTAATCATATTTAACGGTTAATTACCCTCTTACTTTACGCTAAAGCGTAACCCAAAGCCTTCCCTTGACCCTTGAGCATATAAGGCGCAGGCTGATTTTCCTAAACTTTTTTATGGGAAAAAAGGCGCGCCTTATATGCCGGATAATACAGTACTTACCTAAAGAATTGGGTAAGATTTAAGAGTGAAAGCTAAACGCCAGTTTTCCCTCTTTTTTTCTGTCTCACTCGATACTTGGTGAAGGTCCAGAACCGATTGAAACATCGTCAAGTTTTCCTTTTGCTATTTGCATGTTAGCTGTGAACTGTGGCTTATAATTCCTTGTTGTAATACATCACATAAAAATCCAAAATTTACAACATGACGCCCACTCCTAAACCAAAAATACATTGTTAATTTTTTTGTCTGTTTTTAACCCCTTCAGAATAAACTCTCCCGTTTTTAGTCAATTTCTTTTCGAAATAAAATACAATTATGTGTAAATGTTTTTTTTTTCTCTTGTGGCGGCGGCGCTGCAGTCGTTCGGCGAGTCCGCGTTCGGTGTGATGGCCTGGGCCGTGCCTGTCTCAGTGGCCATCTCTGCTCTGGCCTCCCTCAATGGCCAGACCTTCACACAGTCCCGAGTCGTCTTCGTGGGGGCCAGGGCTGGCCACCTGCCTAAGTTCCTGGCCTTGATCAACATCAAGACCAAGACTCCCATCCCAGCTATTATGTTCATGGTAAGGGATGCTACTCTTCCAGTGATGCTGTTCTAGGGGATACTGCTCTTCCAGTGATGCTGTTCTAGGGGATACTGCTCTTCCAGTGATGCTCTTATAGGGGATACTGCTCTTCCAGTGATGCTGTTCTAGGGGATACTGCTCTTCCAGTGATGCTGTTCTAGGGGATACTGCTCTTCCAGTGATGCTGTTATAGGGGATACTGCTCTTCCAGTGATGCTGTTATAGGGAATACTACTCTTACAGTGATGCTGTTATAGGGATACTGCTCTTTTTTTATACACAGTGATGCTGTTATAGGGAATACTAACAGTGATACTTACAGTGATGCTGTTATAGGGAATACTACTCTTACAGTGATGCTGTTATAGGGGACACTACTCCAGTATTACAACCCAGGAGTCCCAAAGGCCTGTTATCCAGGGTGTAAAGGGAGCAAAATAAACACAGCAGAAAAACTTTTGACTTGTATTACCCCTCACCAATTTAGAACAGAAGTATGTACACTATATACATTATGTACAACAATAGGTATTACTGCACTCCACGGTAAGTAAGGCAGAATAGAAGCCACTAGAGAGCAGACTGTGCTTCAACCAGCTCTAGAATGGGAATGACAAGGGCAGACAGGTGAGTGGTACCCACAACACCTCTGCGATTGCCAAAACCATCTTCTCATTGGCTGGAACCTGGGTACTGATTGAACGACGGGGCCCCATCATCAACCCTTAGTACCTGGTTCGCTGGTTGGGGGAGATAGCCTTTCAATGAGGGTGTGTACATGCACCGAATGTACACACGTACTCTTTGCATGCCACATCCAGTGATGATGTTATAGGGGATACTACTTCAGTGATGATGTTATAGGGGATACTACTCCAGTGATGATGTTATAGGGGATACTACTCCAGTGATGATGTTATAGGGGATACTACTCCAGTGATGATGTTATAGGGGATACTACTCCAGTGATGATGTTATAGGGGATACTACTCCAGTGATGATGTTATAGGGAATACTACTCCAGTGATGATGTTATAGGGGATACTACTCCAGTGACGATGTTATAGGGGATACTACTCCAGTGATGATGTTATAGGGTATACTACTCCAGTGATGATGTTATAGGGGATACTACTCCAGTGATAAAGTTATGGGGGAAATACTACTCCAGTGATGATTTTAATAGGGATACTACTCCAGTATGATGTTATAGGGATACTATTTCCCATGAGATGTTATAGGGATACTACTCCGTATGATGTTATAGGGATACTACCCAGTGATGAGTATAGGGGATACTACTCCAGTAAATGATGTTATAGGGATACTACTTCCAGTGATGATGTTAAATAGGGAATACTACTCCAGTGGATGTGTTATAGGGGATACTACTCCATGATGATTTTATAGGGATACAAACTCCAGTGATGATGTTAAGGGGATACTACCCAGTGACGATGTTATAGGGATACTACTCCATGATGATGTCGGGGGGATACTACTCCAGTGATGATGTTAAGCGGATACTACTCCAGTAAATGATTTTTAGGGGGAAATACTACTCCAGTGATAATGTTATAGGGATACTACCCAGTGATAAATGTTATAGGAGATACACTCCAGTGATGATGTTGTAGGGGATGGTACTCCAGTGATGATGTTATAGGGGATACTACTCCAGTGATGATGTTATAGGGGATACTGTTCCAGTGATAATGTTTTAGGGGATGCTACTCCAGTGATGATGTTATAGGGGATACTACTCCAGTGATGATGTTATAGGGGATACTACTCCAGTGATGATGTTATGGGGGATACTACTCCAGTGACGATGTTATAGGGGATACTACTCCAGTGATGATGTTATGGGGGATACTACTCCCATGAGATTGTTTATGGGGATACTACTCCAGTGATGATTTTATGGGGGATACTACTCCAGTGATGATGTTATGGGGATACTACTCCAGTGATGATTTTTATAGGGGATACTACCCAGTGATGATTAATGGGGATACTACTCCAGTGACGATGTTATAGGGGATACTACTCCAGTGATAAATGTTATGGGGATACAAACTCCCAGTGATGATGTTATAGGGGATACTACTCCAGTGATGATGTTATAGGGGATACTACTCCAGTGATGATGTTATAGGGGATACTACTCCAGTGATGATGTTATAGGGGATACTACTCCAGTGATGATGTTAAAAGGGGATACTACTCCAGTGATAAAGTTATAGGGATACTACTCCAGTGACGATGTTATGGGGGAAATACTACTCCAGTGATGAATTTTATGGGGGATACACTCCAGTGATGATGTTATAGGGGATACTACTCCAGTGATGATGTTATAGGGGATACTACTCCAGTGATGATGTTATAGGGGATACTACTCCAGTGATGATGTTATAGGGAATACTACTCCAGTGATGATGTTATAGGGGATACTACTCCAGTGATGATGTTATAGGGGATACTACTCCAGTGACGATGTTATAGGGGATACTACACTTTGTGTAGAGCAAACCTTTATTTGTAAGCTATGTCCCGTGGATCGGTTGGCAACGGCCTCGGCTGACATACTGAGTGTCCGTGGTTCAATAACCGGCATGGGTGGAAACGTTGGGCATGTTTCGTTACATCGTCTGTCTTTGTTCACCTAACAGTAAGTAGGTACCTGAGTATTAGCTGACTGGTGTGAGTCGCGTCCTGAGGGCCAAGATTAAAGGACCACAGTGGTCCTTTAATCTTGTCCCTCAGGATGCGACTGATGCACTGACTTCCTTGAGTTATCCTGGGTGGTTAACACTCCCCCTGGTTAAAAATACCAACAAAATATTATCTTATACACAGTGTATTTCTTACCATATTTGTCGGTAAGTTGCGCTTCTCAGACGATGGTGTTACTGTCTCCTAGGTGTTAGTTTTATGACCGGTGGGATGCTAGGGACTGTTATGTGCTTGGTAGTGTACACGTCATTGACGGTATCCACTGAGAGGACACTCTCCTGAAACTTAAATTTAGATATATAATATTGTCTCAAATATGAAATATTTCGACATATATTCACCTGGATTCTACAATCACTGCGCGAGGATATTGTTGTTGTTGCAGACGCTGCAGAATCTATTGTTGTTCTAGATGCTGTTGTCTCTAATGTCACTGTTGTTTCAGACAGTGCAGACTCTGTTGATGTTGTGGTGGTCTGACATCTACGCTCTCATCAACTACGTCTCCTTCTCTCACAGTCTTTCCCGTCTCGTAGCTACCTCAGCCCTTCTCTGGCTCCGCTACAAGAATCCGGAGATGAAGAGGCCGTTTAAGGTGAGGTGGTCGCTATGAGTGATGCCTAGTTGGCTTACGAGGCTTACCTGCCCGTGTGTGATTGTTGTATTCCGAAGGAAGCCCATACAGCCTGGTTGATCTGGCATCTGGTGAAGATACTTGTCCAGTGTCCTCTTGAAGACTTCTACACTTGTCTCAGCAGTGTTTCTGATCTTATTTTAGCAGAAGATATCAGAAACACTGCTAGGACAAGCGTAGAAGTCTTTAAGAGGGAACTGGACAAGTATCTTCACCTGGTGCCCGAGCAACCAGACTATGATAGATATGTGGGGCACCAGCAGCAACAGCCTGGTTGACCAGGCAAACACAGAGGAACCTGGCCCATGGCCAGGCTTCGGGAATAGAAGAACTCTCGGAACTCATCAAAGGTAAGGTAAAGGCACAGCAACCGTGGAATATTAGACAGGTTTTATCCCGGAATGGAGAGAATACTTCTAATTCTGTGGATCCAGAGTCCTTCACCAGCATCAAGTTGAAGGTGGACTATGGTAAGAATGTTGGTTGGCGCAGCGTTGTTAGTAAGTTTGGTTGCCTTGGCAGGTGTGGCTGGTGCTGCCGGTGATGTACCTGGCGGTGACGGTGCTGCTGGTGTCGCTGCCGGTGGTGGAGGAGCCAGTGACGGTGGGTGTGGCCCTGGGTGTCATCGCCGCAGGTATTATCTTCTACTACGTCTTCATCTTTCACAAATTTGAATCGAAGAAGATCAAGAGGATTTCAGGTGGGTTACCTTCCACCTCCCATTGTTGTTCTACTTGCTGTTACACACACACACACACACACACACACAAACACACACACACACACACACACATACGCGGAGTAAAGGCTTATGAATAAAGGCTTCATACCTCACTCAAGTAATAGGACCTCGGGGTGAACATAGTACCGAGCACATCACCTGAGGTTCACATCAACCGAGTAACACCTACAGAAAATGCGTCTTGCAGATCAAAAACAATAAAGGAACAACAATAATAAGATCATTATTACTACTACTACTGCTACTATTACTATTAATAATGATAATAATAATAATAATACATACAATATTAATAATTTATCTTTATAACTCAAATAAAATGTTAAGAATTAATAAATAAGTTTTATTTTCAGGACGGTTTTATCGGTTTGTACAAATATTATTTCAAGTTATGCCGGAGAAGAAGCTTTAGAAGATGATCAGAAAGAAGAGGAAGAAGAAGAAGAGGAAGAAGAAGAGGAAGAAGAAGAGGAAGAAGAAGAGGAAGAAGAAGAGGAAGGTGAAATATCATCCCAGTATAACTTGTTGATGGAGACGCGTTAAACCCGTCAAGATGAAGCAACACTTGGGCAGCGAGAGGCAGTTAGGTTGGATCCGAGGAAGGAGAGGTTATCTCTAATTCCTTAGATTAAGAGCTCTTTACTAGCATTAAAGAACCGCCTCTTGGTTAGTTGGGTTTCAAGCCTACCGACTCTACGAGAAGTCATTAAGGCTCTTTGTCGCCTGTTCACCACCAGCCAAGAATACTTTAATACCTAAAGAAGGTATATATGCATACATTGAGAAATATACTTCACTGTGTATATATCCTTTAGAGAGACCTAATGTTAAGTATATACTGGAGGGCCCCACTTATACAGCAGGTTAGGGTTCAGGCTACTGTAGGGCCCCACTTATACAGCAGGTTAGGGTTCAGGCTACTGTAGGGCTCCACTTATACAGCAGGTTAGGGTTCAGGCTACTGTAGGGCCCCACTTATACAGCAGGTTAGGGTTCAGGCTACTGTAGGGCCCCACTTATACAGCAGGTTAGGGTTCAGGCTACTGTAGGGCCCCACTTATACAGCAGGTTAGGGTTCAGGCTACTGTAGGGCCCCACTTATACAGCAGGTTAGGGTTCAGGCTACTGTAGGGCCCCACTTATACAGCAGGTTAGGGTTCAGGCTACTGTAGGGCTCCACTTATACAGCAGGTTAGGGTTCAGGCTACTGTAGGGCCCCACTTATACAGCAGGTTAGGGTTCAGGCTACTGTAGGGCCCCACTTATACAGCAGGTTAGGGTTCAGGCTTACTGTAGGCCCCACTTATACAGCAGGTTAGGGGTTTAGGCTACTGTAGGGCCCACTTTTTACAGCAGGTTAGGGTTCAGGCCTACTGTAGGGCCCCACTTATACAGCAGTTTAGGGTTCAGGCTACGTAGGGCTCCACTTATACAGCAGGTTAGGGGGTTTAGGCTACTGTAGGGCCCCACTTATACAGAGGTTTTGGGTTCAGGCTACTGTAGGCCCCCCTTATACAGCAGGTTAGGGTTCAGGCACTGTAGGGCCCCACTTATACAGCAGGTTAGGGTTCAGGCTACTGTAGGGCCCCACTTATACAGCAGGTTAGGGTTCAGGCTACTGTAGGGCCCCACTTATACAGCAGGTTAGGGTTCAGGCTACTGTAGGGCTCCACTTATACAGCAGGTTAGGGTTCAGGCTACTGTAGGGCCCCACTTATACAGCAGGTTAGGGTTCAGGCTACTGTAGGGCCCCCCCTATACAGCAGGGTTTGGGTTTCAGGCTACTGTAGGGCCCCACTTATAAAAGCAGGTTAGGGTTCAGGCTACTGTAGGGCCCCACTTATACAGCAGGTTAGGGTTCAGGCTACTGTAGGGCTCCACTTATACAGCAGGTTAGGGTTCAGCTACGTAGGGCCCCATTTTACAGCAGGTTAGGATTCAGGCTCTGTAGGGCCCCACTTATACAGCAGGTTAGGGGTTCAGGCTACTGTAGGGCCCCACTTATACAGCAGGGTTAGGGTTTAGGCTACTGTAGGGCTCCACTTATACAGCAGGGTTTGGGTTCAGGGTACTGTAGGGCCCCACTTATACAGCAGGTTAGGGTTCAGGCTACTGTAAAGGGGTCCACTTATACAGCAGGGTTAGGGGTTTAGGGTACTGTAGGGCCCCCCCCTTTATACAGCAGTTAGGGTTCAGGCTACTGTAGGGCCCCACTTATACAGCAGGTTAGGGTTCAGGCTACTGTGGGCCCCACTTAACAGCAGGGGTTAGGGTTTAGGCTACTGTAGGCCCCACTTTTACAGCAGGTTAGGGGTTTAGGCTACTGTGGGCCCCACTTATACAGCAGGTTAGGGTTCAGGCTACTGTAGGGGCCCCCCTTTTACAGCAGGTTAGGGTTCAGGCTACTGTAGGGCCCCACTTATACAGCAGGTTAGGGTTCAGGCTACTGTAGGGGTCCACTTATACAGCAGGGTTTGGGTTCAGGCTACTGTAGGGCTCCACTTATACAGCAGGGTTTGGGTTCAGCTACTGTAGGCCCACTTTACAGCAGGTTAGGGTTTAGGCTACTGTAGGGCCCCCACTTAACAGGGAGGTTAGGGTTCAGGCTACTGTAGGGCCCCCACTTATACAGCAGGTTAGGGTTCAGGCTACTGTAGGCTCCACTTATACAGCAGGTTAGGGTTTAGGCTACTGTAGGCCCCACTTTAACAGCAGGTTAGGGTTCAGGGTACTGTAGGGCCCCACTTATACAGCAGGTTAGGGTTTAGGCTACTGTAGGGCCCCCATTATACCCGCAGGTTAGGGTTCAGCTACTGTAGGGCCCCACTTAACAGCAGGTTAGGGTTCAGGCTACTGTAGGGCCCCACTTAAAACAGCAGGGTTTGGGTTCAGGCTACTGTAGGCCCCACTTATACGCAGGTTAGGGGTTTTAGGCTACTGTAGGGCTCCACTTATACAGCAGGTTAGGGTTCAGGCACTGTAGGGCTCCACTTATACAGCAGGTTAGGGTCAGGCTACTGTAAAGGGCCCCACTTATACAGCAGGTTAGGGTTCAGGCTACTGTAGGGCCCCACTTATACAGCAGGTTAGGGTTCAGGCTACTGTAGGGCTCCACTTATACAGCAGGTTAGGGTTCAGGCTACTGTAGGCTCCACTTATACAGCAGGTTAGGGTTCAGGTACTGTAAAGGCCCACTTATACACAGGGTTAAAGGGTTCAGGCTACGTAGGGCCCCACTTATACAGCAGGTTTTGGGGGTTCAGGCTACTGTAGGGCCCCACTTATACGCAGGTTAGGGTTCAGGGTACTGTAGGGGGCCCCCCTTAAAAAAGCAGGTTTTGGGTTCGGCTACTGTAGGGCCCACTTATACAGCAGGGTTTGGGGTTCAGGCTACTGTAGGGGCCCCCCTTTTACAGCAGGTTAGGGTTAGGGTACTGTAGGGCCCCACTTAACACAGTTAGGGTTCAGGCTACTGTAGGGCCCCCCCTTTTACAGCAGGTTAGGTTTTAGGCTACTGTAGGGCCCCCACTTATACAGCAGGTTTTGGGTTCAGGTTTCTGTAGGGCTCCACTTATACACAGGTTAGGGTTCAGGCTATGTAGGGGGCCACTTATAAGCAGGTTAGGGGTTAGGCAATGAGGGCCCCACTTATACAGCAGGTTAGGGTTCAGGCTACTGTAGGGCCCCCACTTTTACAGCGGTTAGGGTTCAGGCTATGTGGGCCCCCCTTTTACAGCAGGGTTTGGGGGTTAGGCTACTGTAGGGGCCCCCTTTTACAGCAGGTTTGGTTTAGGTATTAAGGGGCCCCACTTATACAGCAGGGTTTGGGGTTCAGGCTACTGTAGGGCCCCCTTATCAGCATTAGGGTTCAGGCACTGTAGGGCCCCACTTATACAGCAGGTTAGGGTTCAGGCTACTGTAGGGCCCCACTTATACAGCAGGTTAGGGTTCAGGCTACTGTAGGGCTCCACTTATACAGCAGGTTAGGGTTCAGGCTACTGATATGAAGCAAAAATCGCTGTAAAGTGAAACATATATTTTTTCACCTTCAGATGCATATAAAAACCTGATAACATGTTTACACTATCAAATATTAAGTAAGCAATAGATCTTGGACTAAAAAATGCATGTACCGTACACATATTACTTCCCTTAAAATGTTCTCGTACTTAGCTTATACTGAGTGCAGAATATATTTAATGTAGGAAGTCTGAATAAATGAAGAATGTGCGTAACTGAAAGCCACTGTATTAGCGAAACATTGTAAAGAAAAGCGCCGTAAAGCGGGGCCTTCCTGTATATGCCGAGACACACCTCATGTAACCTAATGTTAAGCTCACATATACTGCTGATTTATGTTCACTTAATATAGTTGTTAGGTAAGACACATATGCAACAGTTAGGTATCTTTATTTCGAAACGTTTCGCCTACACAGTAGGCTTCTTCAGTCGAGTACAGAGAAGTTGATAGAAGCAGAAGTGACTTGAAGACGATGTAATCAGTCCATCACCCTTAAAGTTTTGAGGTGGTCAGTCCCTCAGTCTGGAGAAGAGCATTGTTCCATAGTATGAAACAATATTGTTTCATACTATGGAACAATGCTCTTCTCCAGACTGAGGGACTGACCACCTCAAAACTTTAAGGGTGATGGACTGATTACATCGTCTTCAAGTCACTTCTGCTTCTATCAACTTCTCTGTACTCGACTGAAAAAAGCTACTGTGTAGGGGGAAACGTTTCGAAATAAAGATACCTAACTGTTGCATATGTGTCTTACCTAACAACCTGTCGGTATTTTATACCATTTTAATGTTCACTTAATATAGTAACTGTTTAAGTGTAATTTGTCAATATTATATTCACGTCGAAATCAGAGTCTTGTCATTTTGCGATACTAAAAGTTATAACTTAATAATGTAATTAATTAATTACATCATAAAAAATTATCCTTCTCGAGTAAGTATTTCGATGGTCATAACTAGTTAATTAGGATGTGAATAGCACTGTTTAGCCTTCGTCTACAAATTGACTGTTTCTTCCGCACATAATGGATCCAGGGGCTGTACTTCAACATTACAGAGGCACATAATGGTCCAGGGACTGTACCTCAACATTACAGAGGCACATAATGGTCCGGAGACTGTACCTCAACATTACAGAGGCACATAATGGTCCAGGGACTGTACCTCAACATTACAGAGGCACATAATGGACCAGGGACTGTACCTCAACATTACAGAGGCCCATAATGGGTTCAGGGACTGTACCTCAACATTACAGAGACACATAATGGGTTCAGAGACTGCACTTCAACATTACAGAGGCACATAATGGGCCCAGGGACTGTACCTCAACATTACAGAGGCCCATAATGGTCCAGGGACTGCACCTCAACATTACAGAGGCACATAATGGGCCCAGGGACTGTACCTCAACATTACAGAGGCCCATAATGGTCCAGGGACTGTACCTCAACATTACAGAGGCACAAAATGGATTCAGAGACTGCACTTCAACATTACAGAGGCACATAATAGGTCCAGGGACTGTATCTCAACATTACGAAGGCACATAATGGGTTCAGGAACTGTACCTCAGCATTACAGAGGCACATAATGGGTTCAGGGACTGTATCTCAACATTACGAAGGCACATAATGGGTTCAGGAACTGTACCTCAACATTACAGAGGCACATAATGGGTTCAGGGACTGTACCTCAGCATTACAGAGGCACATAATGGGTTCAGGGACTGTATCTCAACATTACGAAGGCACAAAAGGGGTTCAGGAACTTTTACCTCAACATTACAGAGGCACATAATGGGTTCAGGGACTGTACCTCAACATTACTGAGGCACATAATGGGTTCAGGGACTGTACCTCAACATTACAAAGGCACATAATGGGTTCAGGAACTGTACCTCAACATTACAGAGGCACATAATGGGTTCAGAGACTGTACCTCAACTTTTACAGAGGGCACATAAGGGTTTTTTAGGGACTGTACCTCAACATTACAGAGGCACATAATAGGTCCAGGGACTGTACCTCAGCATTACAGAGGCACATAATGGGTTCAGGGACTGTATCTCAACATTACAAAGGCACATAATGGGTTCAGGAACTGTACCTTAACATTACAGAGGCACATAATGGGTTCAGGGACTGTCCCTCAACATTACTGAGCAC